ATTCTTTATTATTCCCTCTCTCTGTTTAGATCACATCTTGCACTAACTGGCCTGAAGCTGGCCTGAGATGGAAAGAACTGCAAAGAGGCGGGGCGCGGCGACCGCAGAGAACCAGATTGTTAAAAATTACCGGTATGTATTGTATGATCCCCAGGGAATCTTGGGGTTACGCGTGACGCTCCCGGAGCTAAGCCTAAACCAGTCTGCCGTCAACAACAAACGACGCGACTTGCGCGTGCAAAGAGAAACATCGAGTCCCGCCCTGGGGATTTTGGCTGGTCGAGGAGCGAAGACGAAGGAGTCTACCAAGTTGGCCGGGTACCTGAACCATCCTTGTCCTGGTCAGGTCCTCCCTCTTTCTCTACCACTACCTCCCTCCCTCCAACTAACCGCTCGCTCACTAACTACCGATTAACAACGTTGGCCTTCTCTTGCACTCTGCAATTTTTTTTGAGATACTCAAAAATTTTTGTTCCTTCCTTCTTACTCTTGCTTACCATCCACATTTGTCCCTCTTCCTCCCTTCCCCCCCCACACCCAAACTTATCATCATCACCATCATCAAACGACTATCGGCTTTCCCCTCCAAATTTAACTCGCGAACTTTCCTCCCCATAACGGTAACTTTTCGGACGATTGATTCATCATTATTGAAAGGCTGGCTCTGCATACCGCAACTTCTCCGGCCTATCGCCAGCCCCTCCCCTCCATTAGATTATCCATCCTTCCAACTCATCCTCATCCCTTCCTTCGTCTCGCCTTCTTCGACTTCGCGTGGCTATTGATTCTTTTTTTGGGGGCCCTCAAATCGCCACCCCTTGCGCTCACGGTCCTCTCTGCAGCAGAAGCGCAGTCATCCAGGTTTTAAAGGAAGAAAGGGAGACGGAAGGGAGGTGAATCTTGCTGCTGGGGTTCCTTCTCATCAAATCAGAATCAATCCTCTCACGTCCTGCGCTGCAACTCGCCTGCCTCTTTTTCGCGCATCGCTTGCAGCTGGTCGCACTGTCTTGGAATTCTTGTCGCGTCCGTCCTCGTTCCTGTCGCTCCTGCATCTTCGCGTCGCGCCTGCTTGTTTTGACGTCTGCTATCAATCTGAAACATTCCATAGGAAACTGTTTCGTCTTAAGCGCAGCGACGTACTGCGCAGGCCGTCAAGGACATCGTGTGCGTGGTCTGCGTGTCTGATTCTGACGCGTGGCCCCGTGCCCGAGATCGCGAAGGAGGCTGATTGTTTTTCTTCAACCACACTCCACGACCTTCGGCATACGCACGGGGGAGTTGCTCTTCTTTGGGGGTGTATGGAGGCTTCTACAAGCGCTCTCGAAGCCCCCGCGGTCTCGACCTAAGCTGCTGATGTTCATTCATCCGTCGTGTCGCATCGAAAACACATATCTCGCAGACCCAACCATTGGGGCAGCGCCTTACCTCTCAAACATTCCACTACAAACAATATCCGCTTGATAACTGGCTTAGAGGCAGAGCGCACCGCCACAAGATAATTCCCGAGGCTGTTGGCTGTTGTGAAAGTCTGTCACGACTTGGAGAGCCTGGAAAGCCTGCCTGGGTCGTCGATCTGTGACTTGGCAGATTCACACTTTGCAGACCAACCTGGACTCTGTCTGGCCCGCTTCCAAATCCTACGTGAAGTACTCACAGGCCTGATTCCTCGATCTGACAATCATATACAACCATTATGGTAGCAACCTTCTCGCCGCACCGCGATGCGGGTGGCACATTGCATCTGCCATCTCATAGTGGTATTCACCATATGGACGCTAATACGGCCATTCGACAATTACGCCGATCATTATCGCGCTCGCCTTCCAAGAACTCAAACTTTTCACTGCTGGCACCTCGACATCATTCCCCGTCGAAGACAGCTCCATTCATCTCCTCACCTCTGTCACCTTCCCGGCGATCCGCACAGAGCAACTTTGTACTCTTCCCTAGTTCATCTCATCAATCACCATTCGCCGTACCTTATCCCCCGAGCGCCAAAATAACGAGGCCTATCATGCGTCGCGTGCGCACATCCCCGAGAAGTCCCGTCAAACGCGCTTTAAATATCTCCACTGATCACGGAAATGCGAAGCCTGCGCAATCAACACCAACAACGCCAGGTGTGGAAAATTCTCCCACTACCCCTGGGCTCGTTCTTCCGTCTCATGACAACACCGCAGTCGATGCACATCCTAGTGACACTCCCATATGTCTAGAACCTACACTGGCACCTCGGCAAGCAAACTCCCGCATCGAGAAGCGACGGAGCGGGACATTTGCTTCGTACGCTGCCGTCAGCCCACTGAAACGCAGCGACGGAATCATGAATCTGGATCGGGCATCTCGCGGTAGCCCTTCCGCAAAAAGACGAAGCGTTCAGACCACGAGTCTGTCGAGCGAATTTAGCATCTTTGATAATGAAGATGTTTCACAGATTGAAGAAGATCCTGCGGTCGAATCGTCCCCCGAGTCCACCACGCCGCCCTTCCCAACCAATGTCACTCCATTTAGCCCTTTCGCTACAATTCCTAAACGATCATCGTCTCTTCGGAGATCTACCCTTCAGCAGCGACAAAGCGATCGCTCCCTAAATCCTGTGCGGCCCCGCATGTCTCTGGAAAACAATCTTTTCCAACCTCATCGAGAGAGTCCATTTGCCTCTCGAAGTGTATCTGGCAGTTCGCTGTTCTCATCAACAGGAGGTATTGCCGGACAAGCTCGTCCTGGTGCCCATCCCCTTTCAAGGACCATCACGCAATCTTCATCTGGTTCCAGCTTGGTTGACGACTCTCCGACCCATGAACCTATTCACAAGGCCGACCGTCCAAGGGGGGTCTTTGATTTCTCCAAGTCTCTTCCTGCGGGAAGCGCGCGGCCAGTGCCATTACGACATCTCACTCGGGAGGATTCGACATCGTCCATTGACTCGTTTGCAACGCCGGAGAATTACAAGCTAGTCAAACCTCTTCCGGCTGCTTTCATGTCCACGGGTCTCATTTCAAAAAAGAATCGCAATGCAGAAGACCCTCAGAGTGGTCTCGGATTCAGCAAGAACATGCCAGATACCCCCTGTAAACGGCCGATCAACCTTTTTCCTGGGTCGAAGTTGCAGCCGGAACGACCTTTGGACATGTCAGCCTCAGCCCGTCAGCCAGAGATGGCACCACCCTCGCCATTCTATCCACCTAGTGACCGGCCTAATCCGGGCCCATTTGCACGGGGCATGGGGATCTTCGGCAGTTCATTTAACAAACTTGAGGCATCTCGTCGGGGTAGTTTCGCGAGCGTCGACGGTGATGACTTGTTTGCGTCTCAATCGCCCTCCAGCCGCCATAACAGTCAATCTTTCTGTGAAACAGATCTTCCCCCAACACCAACAAAGCAAAGCTTCTTTCCTTCTCGGACTTATCCTCCTCCTATCTCACAGATCGCATCCCTGGAAAGGCTTGCGGAAGCTAAAGGAGTGAGCTCAAGCCCACTACACGACCGGTTCCAACGGGGATCCCCTCACACACCGCAAGACCATCTATTTCCTGACCCGAGTGGGCTATCAATATCCAACGAACAGCATTTGACCAGGCTCGACTTTAGTTCTTCTAACCTTCCAGCGACCCCCACCGGTCCTCGTGATTCGTTCCATCAGTCAGGCAAGCGCCCTAGCCTTCCATTGGCTGGCTACCATGCACCAGATGTGGATCCAAGTTTGACTTCACGTTTCGAACGAGTGGAATTGGTCGGTACAGGAGAATTCTCCCAGGTCTATCGAGTCGCAGAACCACTGGAAATGCCAATGTCGTCATCACTCTCGGATGGAACCCACACTTCTAAAGCACTCACCGAGCAAGTCTGGGCTGTAAAGAAATCAAAACAGCCATACTCTGGGCTTAAGGATCGTGAACGCCGCATTCGTGAAGTGGACATACTCAAATCGCTCACCAAATCGGATCACATCATCTCCTTCGTGGACAGTTGGGAAGATAATGGTCACCTCTATATCCAAACAGAGTTCTGCGAAGAAGGTAGCTTGGATGTGTTCCTTGCTCAAGTTGGACTGAAGGCACGATTAGATGACTTCCGGATCTGGAAGATCTTATTGGAGTTGTCAACGGTACGATCAGATTCTTGTGCTTCGCAGACGATAGAAAGCTAGAAACAAAATACTAACGATTGCGATAGGGCCTGAAACACATCCATGAAACGGGTTTCATTCACTTAGACCTGAAACCCGCAAATATTCTGATCACCTTCGAGGGAGTATTAAAGATCGCTGATTTTGGCATGGCAGCACGTTGGCCAGCTGAGGATGGCATCGAAGGTGAAGGTGATCGTGAATATATAGGCCCCGAAATACTGATGGGTCGCTTTGACAAGCCGGCAGACATCTTTTCCCTGGGTCTGATTATGTTCGAAATCGCTGGAAATGTTGAATTGCCCGACAATGGGCTTTCGTGGCAGAAGCTGCGAAACGGCGACATGAGTGATATCCCCAGCCTAACATTCAGTTTCGAGACAAGCATCTTCCGTGATGCGTCCGGCAACCCCATCTTAGAGGAACCATCGTTTGAGGAACTATGTGCATCCGACTTTGGGGATGACGATTTTGGAATGGACAGCTTCCTCGGAGGCCGCAAGCCTAGTGATCAAAACGCGGTTCCTCTTGTACGATCGGGCGAACTTGTTGATCCTCCTGACTTCATGGTCGACGCCAGCCATGAACAAGCTTTGGACAAGATTGTGCGGTGGATGATCTCACCGGAACCGCTTGATCGACCAACGGCGGAGCAAGTTCTCGAGACCTACGGCGTTCAGTTCGTTGCCGGCCGACGTCGCGCTGGAGCCACCGTCTACGAAGGCAACTGGGGCCCTGCTGATGAGGTCCTCGTTGAAGACGCAGAAATGATCGATGTTTGATCAGTACGACTTGACATATCTAATGCATTTCGACGGAGTTGGTGCTTTCCTTTACAATACCATCTAATGACGGCGTTCTATGTGAGATTCCGAACTATCAATCTTAATGTCCATTTGACTGTCTCGATTACCATGGCGGGATCGAGATTCCCATCCGACCATCTCATTTGAACCGGACATGGCCGGGCTCATTGCACGGTGGTTGTCCACTCATTTTTTCTGTGCAAAATTTCTTTTGTTTATGAGTCACTTGATTAACGAGACTCCTGGCTTCCTTTATACATCACCGACCTCACTTCCATTCGCATCCCTTTCAGTTCTATTCTGTTCGCCCCGTACCTGTGTTTTCTGCATGATTGGGTTTCTGCAGTTCGTGATGACTGAAGTGACATATGACGATGATCCGCTCTCTTTTGCGTTTATGTCCTGCGTTCTGAGCGAGGATGTATATCATACACTATGTGGCAGGCCTATGACTTGCCTAGTTTTCTACTTTCCGTTCTCTTTGCCATACATTGCCTTTGCTGTCTTCTTTAATGGATTCCCCGGTTGCGGAAACCCGGACGGACTGGCATGGTCACTGTTTCCTCCGTGCACTTTGGGCGTTTGATGAATTTTCCTTATCCCTACATGTCTATGTAACCAATATCCCTTGACTGTACTATTCGCCCTCTCTTCAGCGTTGCTTTCGATCCACTGTCAACTTCTCATCCCTCTTCTTATGGATGTCTCTATGTGTTCTAAGCAGACAGGAAACTGCCGTATTCAGTCGAGCAAAGTAATGTTGATGACACCCCAGCTCTGGCAAGTACGATTGGTATTGTTTTCGTAGTTCTGTGGATTATAAAGTTAGCAGTTACAGTGCTTTTTGAGCAAGCCGGGAGGCTCGCCACCGGCCGCCGACGCCGATGTCAAGCTTGGCTCTCCGCACCCACCCACCCTTCCTCACCGCTCTTGCTGCCGCATTTGCATTCTCATCGGCTGCCCATCGCCTCACTACGTGTTCTGTATCTTTATTCTCTACCATACGCGACTATTTTTCTTTTCTTTTCTTCTTTTTCTGTTCTCTTTTCCTTCAGAAGACTTCGGTGCTGGGACTCGTATATGCTAGGGCTCCAGCGCAAGATTTCATCCTGGTATCACATGGACGGCTAATACTCTAGAACCACGGCCGATTTATCCCTCTGCGCCTTGACCTTTACATCCTCCGTTTGCCATACGTCATGGACCTCAAGACATTCGTGTCGGACTCCCTATTACGCCTGACAAATGCATCAGATCCCACTGTGGTGGACTACGTACTCGCAACCGCGAACTCGGTGAAATCTGCTACCGAACTACATGACAAGCTTCTCCCTTTCCTAGACGGCAGCTCCGATGGCGTCGGATCATTTTGCGCAGAGCTTTACCAGCGAGTTGGCACTGGCGCGACGCTTGGATCTAGCGGGAACAGCAGTAATGCAACGAGCAAGGACCGTGTGAGCGCTGCACCGAAGAAAAAATACCGGCTACTGGACATGGAGGATGATATTCCCGATATACGAGGATCGCTGGGCCCCTTGAACGTTGAGGTTGATAGGGACCGACGGAGACGCAACGAGAAAGACAGAAGTAGTGGCCGGGTTGGTAAGGAGTTCGAAGCTCGCAGTCGCCGGGAAGAAGACCAGACCCGGAAGCGCGACCGTGGCTGGGAGGAAGGGCTTAGAGACCGAGAACGTCCACGAACCAAGAAGCTGCGACAGCGTGTGGACGATTTCGATGCTCGTTGGGGTGACGAGGAGATTTCAGGAGAGGAACTCTATGGCGGTGATGAGCAAGTCAGCGATTTTGAGGTGTCACCTTCCAAGCGGATTCAGCTGCACGATGGATCTGCATCCCCGCGGTCTAATGTGTCTGCTGATCTGAATCTCGAGGAGAAGAAGGAGTTGGAGCGGAAACGAGACCTCGAGGAGCGGGATGAGTTCGCCAAACGATTGGCCAAAAAAGATGATGGCAAATCGAAGAAGATAGTGGAAGACCGGACTAGAGCGGGCGAGGCTGCCCGGCGACGGGCTTTAGCTGACGACGCTTCTGCCCGGGAAGCCGTAATGCCTGAAATCCGGTTGCGATCGCGGCAAGAGTATCTCAAAAAACGAGAGACGGAACGCTTGGCTTTACTGCGTCGACAGGTCGCGGAGGAGACGGCAGAGCTACGTGACAATCCTATCTTGACGCGACGAGAAAAGGAGGAGTTTGCTCGAAACCGAGAAGTTCTGCGGATTGCCGAGGAACGGCTCAAGATCGACGATTACCGGGACGGTTACATGATGCCGGAGGACTACATCACGGAGAAGGGCAAAATCGACCGGAAGAAAAAGGAAGATGCGCTGTACAAGCGGTATGTGGACCGTGACGTACACGGTCAGGAGCGCTTCATCACAGAACATGAAGAGTGGGAGCTAGAGCAGACGGCCAAGGCCAAGGCCCAAATCAACCGCGCAGAATTTGTAGATGAAGGAGACTACGAATATGTGTTCGACGACTCACAAAAAATCAATTTCATCATGGACGCGAAGATGGAGGGTACACGAAAACCCATGACGCAAGAGCAGCGGAGGCTTCAGGAGCAGCTAGACGCTGCAGAGAAAAAATTACAGTCAATGGAGGAAACGCGCAAGAGCCTGCCTATCTATCAGTTCCGAGATCAAATCATACAGGCGGTGCACGATCACCAGGTGCTAATCATCGTGGGAGAGACCGGCTCCGGTAAAACAACACAGATTCCCCAGTACCTCCACGAAGCTGGCTTCACCAAGGGTGGCATGAAGGTTGGGTGCACGCAGCCTCGTAGAGTCGCCGCAATGAGTGTGGCGTCGCGTGTGGCCGATGAAATGGGGGTGAAGTTGGGCAATGAAGTTGGATACGCTATCCGGTTCGAAGACAATACAAGTGACAAGACCGTACTCAAGTACATGACTGATGGAATGCTGTTACGAGAGCTCCTCACAGAGCCCGATTTGAGTCAGTACTCGGCGCTGATGATCGACGAAGCTCACGAGCGAACTGTACCAACGGATATCGCCTGCGGGCTCTTGAAAGACATCGCGAAGGCGCGACCGGATCTGAAGCTTCTAATTTCCTCTGCGACGATGGATGCGCAAAAGTTTCAGCAATATTTTGATGACGCGCCCATATTCAATATTCCTGGTCGCCGGTACCCCGTGGATATCCACTACACTTCCCAGCCGGAGGCCAACTACCTGGCTGCGGCTATCACGACTGTCTTTCAAATCCACATTACCCAGGGCACAGGTGATATCCTTGTTTTTCTGACCGGCCAAGAGGAGATTGAGGCGGCCGAACAGAGCCTTCAGGAGACTGCGCGAAAACTAGGGAATAAGATCCCGGAAATGATCATTTGTCCGATCTATGCCAACTTACCATCCGAGCTGCAGACCAAGATCTTCGAGCCTACGCCACCCAAGGCACGGAAAGTGGTGCTGGCAACGAACATTGCAGAGACCAGTCTTACCATTGATGGAATCGTTTACGTGATTGATCCGGGTTTTGTGAAAGAAAATGTCTTCAATCCACGCACGGGTATGGAAAGCCTGGTGGTGACACCATGCTCGCGGGCTTCTGCCAACCAAAGGGCTGGGCGCGCTGGACGTGTCGGTCCAGGCAAATGCTTTAGATTGTACACCAAATGGGCCTACCATAATGAACTTGAAGAAAGCACGACACCAGAAATCCAGCGGACGAACCTAAACAGCGTTATCCTGATGCTGAAGTCGCTCGGGATTGACCAGCTGCTTGAATTCGACTTCATGGACCCGCCACCGGCGGAAACGATCATTCGCGCCTTGGAGCAACTGTACGCTCTGGGGGCGCTGAACGACCGCGGCGAGCTGACGAAGATTGGTAGGCAAATGGCCGAATTTCCGACCGACCCTATGCTAGCCAAAGCGATCCTTGCTGCGGACAAGTATGGCTGTGTAGAAGAGGTCCTGTCGATTGTGTCAATGTTGGGTGAGGCCAGTGCCTTATTCTTCCGACCCAAGGACAAGAAGATCCACGCGGATAGCGCTCGCAACCGATTCACGATTAAAGATGGTGGCGACCACCTTACCCTGCTCAATATTTGGAACCAATGGGTCGACTCAGACTTCAGCTACGTGTGGGCAAAGGAGAACTTCTTGCAGCAGCGCAGTTTGACGCGCGCCCGTGATGTTCGTGATCAGCTTGCCAAGCTCTGTGATCGGGTCGAGGTGACGGTCAGCACCTGCGGGTCGAACAACTTGGTGCCGATTCAAAAGGCCATCACTGCCGGATTCTTCCCTAATGCGGCGCGACTTCAACGCGGTGGGGATAGTTATCGCACTGTGAAGAACGGACAGACAGTGTACTTGCATCCGTCAAGCACGTTGTTTGAGGTGAACCCACGGTGGGTGATCTACTTTGAGCTGGTGCTGACGAGCAAGGAGTATATGCGCAGCAACATGCCTCTGCAAGCCGAATGGTTGGTGGAGGTTGCTCCGCACTATTACAAAAAGAAGGACCTGGAGACTCTAGGATTGGAGAAGAAGATGAAGGGACAGGGGGCGGCTGGAGAAAAGAGCCGGGACTAGATGAGGCAAAGGACGCCATTGATGGTGGATGGATGGATGGATGGATGGATGGATGGATGTAATATATGTCATTATATGTGTCTCTTTGCATGATTACCACATGTAAATGTACATGCGGGTGTGTTGTTTGGAAATGACAACTCAATCATTCTATTCAACCTTGGAAGTAGTATGAGTACTATGAATTTCAGCAGAGCTCGGGTCAAAGGGATAAAGATAGTCCGAAGAATAAGTATGTATGAGTAAGTCAAGAAAGAGAGTACAGCTCAACCAGCCAACCAGCAACCCTGCATTGCAATCGGCTCTAACTAATAGATTATAGAGAGGCCAGTCGGGCCGGGCAGTCCCAGCCAGATTCCACTGCTGGACCTCGGCATGTTCCACTTTGACTTGACACTTGCACTCCCCGCGTTTCCACTTACTTAGTTTCCCCGTTCCATCATCCTGCTTGCTGCTCATCCATCCTTCACTTCCAGTTCCTCTTGACTTCCTGTTTCCACTCCTCCTGACCATCTAATTAATTACTACCCGACTCTGACTCCCCCACTCAGTTACACAGAGAGACAGGCATACACACCTACTACACCCACACATAAATTACACACACATCTACACTCAAAAGACGAAAATGTCTCAATCCTTCACCCCCACCGATGTCGCTGCGCACAACACCCCAGACAAGGGCCTCTACATCATCATCGACAACAACGTTTTCGATGTCACCAACTTCGTGGATGAGCACCCCGGCGGCGCGAAGATCCTGAAGCGCGTCGCAGGCAAGGACGCTACAAAGCAGTTCTGGAAGGTTCGTTTCTTTCCATCCTCTATGGTCTTTGCCCAGCCCATCCCTTCTTCCTCCGGAGCAACCGTAAGTTGTCGGGCCCCGGTTTCCGTTCCGGTCCCGAGCCCGGGTGCTCTCACGCGCGCAACTTAATTCCTCGTCTCGGCTCGTGTTGTGTGGGACAATGCCCCCTTTCTTGTTTTTCCTTTCTTCGTTTACTGGGTGTGCCTCTTGAGTTTGGCAACTGGGCTGACTTGTCCTCTTGCGCGGGTGCCCCTTAGTATCACAACGAGGGTGTGCTGAAGAAGTATACGCCTAAGCTGAAGGTTGGAGAGATCAAGGAAGCCGCCAAGTTGTGAAGCCGAAGCCACCGTTGGACAACGATTCGAATTTATACGTGTTTCTAAGAATGTCCTTTCCCCCCTCGCGCTCTTCCCTTTGACCCCCCAACGGCGGATCCCGTGTGGTTCCCTATGTCTCCATTGCTCGCTTCCGTGCATAGAACAAGAGAAGAGCATATACACATATACAGACAGAGAAACTGAAATCGTCTGCAGACACTGCAGCATGTGTGAATGGATATTGGGCTAGAGGGAAGGATGAGGAGGGATGATCATTTATATTATACTGCCTAGGCTGACGATCTTGTGTGTGGAAGTTTCAAATGTGTTGCTGTGCATTATTCGAGCGGGAGGCATCATGATTTTTATCATTTCAATTATGTTTTTTTCACCCAAAGACGGCATATTTGCATCCAACAGGGGTACAATTTTGTGATACCTTCCGCACCCACAAAGGATAAGACATTAAACAATATCATCTCTTCGATAAGCGCACAGAAGAGGAAAAAAAGAGCGAGAGATGGTATCTAAGACGCTATAACGCCTGCAGATCGGGACGCTAGAATCAAAAAAGCAAATGCATGTAACATATCGGTTAGCAGAGGAGAAGGGAACCTCTACTGCGACCGTCTTTCAGGACGGGACAGATAGAGAGGCTGCTGCCTCAGCCTGCTCAGAACTCTGCAAAGGGGTCAACACGGAGAATAGGCTCACCACCGATTCGATGCGGAGAAATAGGATTGTGAGCCGCGCTCCATGTGCTAGATGCCTTCCGGCTATGTCGGCCAGACTGAGGCCCTCGGGTTTTGCTTGTTTGGTCGATGAAGGCCTCCATGCGAACAGTTCCAATTGCATCGAAGAAGTTCCCCGTCCTCGCGCCAGTCTCAGAGGTACGTCGGCTGACGCTGTTGCGAGTGCTGTGAGTTCCAGGCCCGTAAGATTGCGCGACATACGTGTCAGAGGAGCCCCGCGTGGACTCAACCGACGGTATTGAGCCTTGACTGGAGAAGCTACGCATCATTGGCATCCGTGGCGTTGTGTTGCTTCGTTTTCGCGAATGGTTTGAGAACCGTGGCACCGTCGGAGGGTCAGCAGCATCCATAGATGGACTAGACTCAAAACTAGTAGGAAGCTCAGGGACGGGTTCGACTTGACCGAGGAAAGATCGTTTCCCCTTGGGCCGGGGCCGGGGCCGACCCTTGGCTATCCGGATTGAGTCACGGATAGGATTGCGGCGGAGAGAGGGCGATGGGGTGGTTGCAGTGCCTTCATCCTGTGGAACGGGGGGCAGGGCAGCCAGATCATGAATACCACTAGGAGTGTGACTTAGGAAAGACAATGCGGTTAGCCAGACATAATGTCGTTCCACGCTCGTGGCCGTGAACTTGAGAGCACGTTGTGGCGTCAAAATAAGAATTGATCGATTAAATTGACTCTGTGTGTTGGAACCCTTCGGCAGCGGGTTGTCGTCCTTGACGTCAAGAACGGACTGGATCATCACTGTAGCCACGTTAGCCACGTTAGCCACGCAAAGTACTTATTAGGTCGCATAAGAGAGTACTCACACTTTCGGCCACTCTTGCCCAGCAGCGCAGGCCCACTCGTGGGCTGCTTGCTGCTCCACATCACGGCGCGCTCATAGGGTGCTAGCCAGACCCAACGCTTGTGCCTTACACCACTATTGGTGATATTAGCTGATACCTCATCAGCACTGCGCCCTTCCCAACTCTCTTTGTGCTCTCCCACAACACCGAATGATCTCCTCCTCCTAATGTATTTGTACATCCATTCCCCGACCATGGTCTGTGCGATAGCATCAACAACACTGGTGGGCTGGACGGAGGTTGCTGTAGAATCTTGCCATCCATGAGAAAAGGTGCGAGATGCTGTTGTGGCAAAAGCTGAGCGCCGCTGGACGGCTTGATCTCCGGATGGGGCAGTAAAGTCTCCATATGGAAGTGCAGGGTGCGGCGGACTGACAGGACTGCCAGACGAAGTAGATATCGGTGATGACCGGCTTTCAGGCCGTTCTGTCTGCGCCATAGCAGTCGCAGACCGCACACGCCGGAGGGTTGGACGCCGCATCACCTGCGCACGTCCACGGTCGGAAGAAGTTCCAGGATTCGATGGTGTTGGGCTTTGCTGACCATCACCTCGACGGGCAGGAAACTTTCTTGAACTGAGCCGGATTGGAACAGGAATAGGAGGAGCAATGTGGAAGGCACTGCTTGCACGGCCATTATCAATATCAGGATCACTGGGGCTTCGAGCCCGAGAAGTCTGACGAGTCGCGGGCCCATTCGGTATCATGGCTGCTTTGCGAAGGTTCTGTCGTCGGTGATCTTGTCCCATTCGCTGACTCCAAGAAGATCCGGGCCTGTCTCTAGGTTCGGATTCCAGCGACACTTCTGGATCACAAGCCTCTGGCTTTGATATATGCTCATCAATTTCGCCCAGCACACCTCCGTCCAAGCTTGAGCCGCTCTGCGTTGAGACCAGCTTGCCTCTCTTCAGCGTATAGGAAGCGAATGGCCGATTCAAGAGATCGTCATCGGTGAGAACTTCGTTGACTTGATTCGGTAACTCATCATCACTTCCCTGCTCAAAGCCAGCAAAGAGACTACTCGAGCGAAGTGGTCGTCTGAGCTTGCTTTCCGACCCCTCAGCCAAAGGACCATTGTCATTGTTGCCTGGATAGGCTTGTACCGTCTCAAGCGACCCGGTTTCCTGATTAGTCTTGATTTCTCTCTTCTTGGACCGGGGAGGCGGTGGGCAGTATGGCTGGACAGGAAGATCCTCAGCAACATTGTAGAATGGCAGGTCTGGTATAGCTGATGGAAGCAGACTAGCCGGCAATTTGACTGGCCGTTGGCTTATCGTTATCTCTTCTGTTTGAATTCCAATTGTCCGACAGTCGGAATTCGAGCTAAAACTGGCTTGACAAGACACGCTCCTGGTTTGTGGTGGGAGAACTACGCTACCCCGAGGAGAAGGTGGTTCAGAGCAGGGAGGGTGTATTGCGATCATTGGTATCTCAAGACCCGACGCGCCCATGTCGCCAAGAGACACACCGATCCGCTGCTCATCGGGTTCCCTAACCGGAAGTTCAATCGTTTGCATGGAAGATGAAACCATCAAAACTGGTTTGAGGGCTTGGACATCGTCCAGGCTGGGTGTCCACGGAGGTGTTGGGAGGCCTGCCACGGTTTGACAGGAAGCGGATACCATGTCGATGGTGAGAGTTGATGTACTGATATCTCTCACTTGGCACGAACACCGGCTTTCTTCACTCTCACTTTCGTCCGGAGCTCGAACTGAGGCGCTAATCTCAGATAGGTAGTCCGATGTGGGTGACGGAGGAAGGGAATACTGCACCCCGGTATCTCGATACACAAATGTGTTTGAAGAGAATCTCAGAGGACTGCCAGGCTCTGACGTCGGTTCATTCTTGGCACCATAACCCTCCATACTACCAAGCGAAAGCCCCAGGATTTTCCTCGCCTTGGCCCCCATGCTTATGGTGCTAGACAGCTGGGAATGTACCGAGACAGGCCGCTCCTCTGGTAGAGCCTCAGGAGATACGGGTCTGAAGCCGTGGTCGAAAGACTGAAACTCATCATCTTCATCAAGATCAAGCTCTTGTGCTAAGTTCAATCCTTCACCCTTGACCACAGGAAGGTTGGTAACACTTGCCATCGAGTAGCGTACATTGTGGTAGTCAAATTCGTCGCAGTTGGCAGTACTGACACTCGTAATGCTGGTCCGGCGGCGTCCTTCGCTGCTTGAGACGATGCTCGTGGAATCACTGTCCTTGCTTGTAAGCCTCTCGTTGGCGACTGCCACGCGTTCGCTCTCCCGCGTAGAATGAAAAGAGCGTGCTTCCTGTGCTGCAGTCACCTCATTCAAGATGACTTTCAGCCGACCTTCAACCACATGAATCTTCCGTTCCAGATTCCTGCGTTCCCGGTCCCAATTGTCCTTCTCTCGATCCCACAGCTGCACTGTCCTCTCTGTCTCCTCTTCGAGACTGCGAGCCTTCTTTTGTGCTTGCTCCTGTTTCTTGCGAAGATCTGCAATATTTGCTAATGCTTGGTCCCGCTCCTTGGCGAGTTCACTGATAGCGGAGGACGAGCCACCTTCCAGAAGCTGCAGCTGCTGCTTGAGCGAGCGAGACTCTTTCATGCACTTGGATAGTCGTTCAGTGAGGCTGCCATTCTCCGTACGTGATTCGTCCAAGGTATGCTCCAGACTTTCAATTGCCTTGAGTTTACTCTCCACATCTCGCCGAAGCGAAAGGATTTCTGACACTAAAGAGGCATGCAGCGTTGGGGTGAACCGCCGCGGGTCCAGGGGTGAAAGATTGTCTTCCTCCACGAGATCATCATCGTCGCTGAGACCCGGGGGCGAGAAGCTGTGAATTGGCAGTGAACTGAATGAGGAGAGGTCGCTTGAGTCCACTTGTAATCGAATGGACGGGGCTCTTGCGGTTATTGACGAAAGAGTGGGAAAGCCCTTTGCCACTGGAGAGCTTGTATATATGCTATTGGTGGCCATTGCGTTGAGATCAGAAGAGATAGCTTTGAAGCATCCCTTTGATGATGACGGATCAATCAGATCTTGCCGGAATGTGTCATGCAGCATCCATGTATAACACTTATGCCGCGTCTCCTGAGTGGCGTAGAACAGCTCCGCTGACCCCTCGATGACGAAAAAGTAGTTGGCCAACCAGCAGCTGTAGGACTCGATCAAGGAGACTTTCCGACTTCTAGACAAAAGATAGCATCCATCACAATCAGTCAGTCTTCTGTGCAAGAAAAGGATTGAAAGGCCGGAAACATGGTTGGAGGTAGTAAAATGGCATACATTAAGCCGGCTCTCGACGCTTGCGCGTCCTCTGGCCTTCGTGAACAATTGGTGCAGAGATAACAGGCAGATCTGGGCGTGAGGACACTCAACAAAATAATTATGATATAGAAAGCTGCCCGTCACTTAGTTAGAGGAAGAGAGGGTGTTTGAAG